TTTCAGAGCAGAGGATCCAGGAAGAAGCCAAGATGACTCCCCTGCTCCAAGTACGTTGCCTCTAATCGACCCCAAAAAGACCAAGAAAACCCTCATCCTCCCAAAACCTAGGCATGTTTCATCGGATTCCTCCCACAGCCCATGTTCTTTAGAAAAAGAAGAGATACAATCCATAGAAGGAAAGGAAAACGTAATGTACCTCGAGGTGGAGATCGAGTCGCATCCCAACCACCCGAGGCCTCCGGCTACTAGCACCAAAAGTCCCAGGACCAGCAACCGCGACCACCTCATAGATTCCTCCACCATTGCCGCCGCTTCTCCTCTCTCTCAGTTCTCTTCTGCTCTCCCACACCCACTCGCTAAAAATCTCGGCGCCGAAGAGGGAGAAGTGTACAAAATAAAAAGTGGGAGAGAGACCCAAATGAGGCGGAAGGAACCGCCATTTATAGCGCGTTTGGCGTTCCGCGCTTTACCACTACCCCACTCCGAACTTAACCGTGGTTAAGTGTTTGTTATGATTCCATCACCGGCAACTCTAACCGCTACTAACGGCTTCGTTGACGGCGAAGAGCGGCACCGACGGGGACACGTGCGAGAGGTCTTCGTGATCACGTGTCAAGCACGCGCCTCCGTCTCCGTTGAGTCTCCCGCACCGACGTCTCCGATTAACTAACCTCAACGCATTATGAAGTTAGTCTATAGATAATGTTCGATAACAAGTCACGCCTCTCAAAGCATGACACGTCAGGAAGGGATTTGTTGAACTCAATTAGTTTATATAATTTTTATTATGTATATATATACATTAAAAAACACAGAAAAAATGGTATTAGGAAAAAAGGATCCACTAAAGTTGGGTGTAGTGCGAGTTCAAGTAAGGTGTTCGACAAAATGGGTAAGCTGCTGAATCGAGTTGTCTTCTAAATCAACACATCTGACCCACTTGCGCAGCAGAGCCAAAGGCTCTTCATGGATCAACGACAAGAGGTCACAGACACAGCACTTCCATCTCATAGGCATTGTCGAGCAACGATTTTGTTTTGCACCTTTTATGGTGTGACCGAGGTGTCAACGGTCCATCCCAAGGGTGCAAGATCACCAGCACAATTTTTTAGTTGGAGCGCATTAACCCTAGGTATGGTTGAGGGGGTGTAGGCTTTGTTCTCTCCGACGAAGACCGAAGATCTCTCCCTTGGTTCTTCGTTAGGTGCCTGTACACAAGTCGAAATCGGGAGAGAGATCCCCGACTTGATCCCTTCGACGTTTAAGTTAGAAGGGTTCTACTGTGTACAGTTAGAGTGTGAGTATGTGTGTCCACCTCCCCGGTGTTATTCTTGGGGGTGGCTTTTATACATGTTTTCGTGTGTTTCCATACGATGTCTCCATACGTAGGTGTTTAAAGGTCTGATCCTTATAGTTGTTTCTGAGGGTGGCTTTTATACTCATTATCATGCATTGACGTACGTATGTGTTAATGATCGTCAGTGTCTCCGTAAGTAAATGTTTAAAGTCTCGACCCACTGCATTGTTTTGGGAGGTGGTTTCTATACCTATTGTCGTGTGTTGATGAACGTATGTGATAATGATCGCCAGTGTCTCCGTACGTAAATATTTAAAGACTCAATTCTTAAGGATAGTTTCTATACATGTTGTTATGTGTAGAGGTACGGATAGTAGACGACAGTTTTATTCACAACCAGGAAGTCAAGGTGGCTTGGTGCATAATGTTAGTTTTGGAAAGAAGTGCCAGATGCCATGACACCATGGGGCGGATGACAGAATATGTCATACCAGATTTGTTTGTGGCAACGTGAACCAAACATCGTGTACGTAGCAGCACGGAATGCCCGGTAGGTTTCTCTCATCCATGTCATGCAATGGATCGGATCTGAGGACGAGGAGAGCACTGTCTTCGTTCAGATGCAATCACTGGGCAAAAATTTGATCTGCCTCGCTGTATCTGCCGCCTGACCCTAATAAGACAGACTCCGATACCCTGTAATGTGTGCTTGCCACATCCTGAAACAGTGAAGACCCCGAGGTAGGCGAGTCTAATCCTTTGCGGGGAACACAAAAGCAAAGGGAAGCATGCCGGGGAAAAGGAAAAGGTGGTGGTGCTCATGTCGCTGTAATCATTGATTAGTGGAGAATTCTTCCCTTTGCTTGTTCAATCAGCATTCAGTGTTACTGTCGGGTGCTCGATCGCTTTAGCTCACACTGCTGCAGCGCACGTAACATCTACGACATCTCATTTCACAGTGATGGTTCTTCTATTCCTAGCTAGTTTCAGTTACTGCTCCCAGTCCCAAGTTTAAAGGTTCTCAGCTGTAGCTACGACCAACTCTCGCCATGATTGGCGGGCCAAATAAATGCTTGATTACAGGCGAGTTTGGTGGAAGCTAAGTGATCTTGGAGCACTTTTCAGTGACGAGCCCACAGAAGGATTAGAATAATGCAAGCTCACATGGTTTGGTGGCGAGCATGAAGAACGGATTGACGCCCAGAACTGGCGACTTAATTCCTCTCCCCTTTCTCCTCCTCTCTTCATCCGATTTCTTCGTTGGATGCCTTTGGATTTTGTTTATCCATCTCGGATGGACTTCGTTTAGAGAATCTGAAGGCCGCTGCCGAGTCTCTTTCTCTTGTTCTGCGCACCACATGGTACGGACTCCCTTTTCGTTGCCATGCTACCTCAACCGAGCTGCCAACAACTTCACGCCATGCTTTTGATCCTTCTCTCTCTCTCTCTCTTCCCATGTATGCTAGGATTGATTCCCTTGTTCGAGTTCTTTATCAGCCGACGTTTGTGTTCACTCTCTCACAAGCATCCACCTGTTTCGTTGTGGCTTGACATGCACATGGATCCATTTGCTCCGAAGAACACGGTTCATGTGGCTAACATCGGCATGCTCCTCCAGTGGGCTGTCTCAGCTTTAGATCTTCTCAATGCTGATTCCATCCGCATCTCTTATACTCTGATGAACTAGAACTGGCTAAAGCTTAACTTGCATCAGAAACTAGAAACCCATGTGATGAGCTTGACTTCATCTCCACGCGTAGCCTGTGCAATTGATCCAAAGGCACCTCGTGTGTCAGAGAAGATAAAGAATATGACATCTTGAGTAGTGATGTGCTTGGAAGAAAGAGCCGGTTCAGATTGTATCAATTCCTTCCATTAGGTTGTATGACCCAGTTTGAGGCAGACAGCCACAAAATGACACTCCAGTACCGGATCAAGATTACTTCTCCTTCATGGGCAAAGGATTTGGAGCAGAGTTAGGCATCAAAGGCAGCTGCTGATTCCTTCTTGGCATCATGCAGTGAATCAACCAAAAGCTTTGGTACCTCATGCTGTTTTATATGCCTGGTGACTGCAAGAGAGGCCTGCAAGTTGATACAGATGGAAAGGTATCTTCCAAGGCATCCAGGAGACTCTTGGCTCTGGAATGTGTTTGTCGAAAAGCTGCAAGTTGATAAAGGAAGCTGAGAGTGTCCTCCTTGGCTCACTGGGCTGTCATGTGCTTGGTCCAAGATCAATGTGGGAGGGATCTTGTCCCATATGATCTCTCTGTTTGTGTCAGTCTTTGATTTGCCACTTGAGAAGCTGTTGATATAGGAGTAATGAGATTAGAGTTACATCATACACACTCCACACACAGTCTCTTTCCCTTCTGATTCCTCTGTCCTATTGTAGGCCAAGAAGAAGTGTAATGACTTGTGTTAATGGAAGAAACAGCAGGTTTATAAGAAATGACAACGACCTATTACCAGCTTAATTACTTGATATATTGCATGCATGTTCATCATCGAACTTGGGCTCTTAAGAGAAGATGTTACGACCTAATATATATTGGTTTTTTTCTTAAATATTGGTAATGAAACACTTTGCCCAATTTTCCTAAAACGGTTTTTTTATTTTTCTTTTCGGATGATGTCCCTTTTTCAATTGATATGTATTTTTCTCTAATGTCCTAATTGCCCATTAGTGGAGGTGACCATGGTAGAGCAAAAGCAACATAGTCGAAGTGATGAGGCTTTATGGTGAGCGGAGCGAAACCAATGAGACCTCGTGATAGGATAGAGGAGGCTATATGAGGACGGAAACAATAAGATCTACCATAATAAGGTAAAAGTGACAGGGCCTCGTAGTATGGTGGAAGTGATAGGGTCTCATGGAGAAGAAGGAGATCGTCATAGTAGGATGGAAGCGATGGGACCTTATGGTGGCGATTAGACGACAAGAAACACTTAGGGTATTAAAGAAAAATGAGGGCACATGAGGAAAGGATTAAAAATGAGAATCCGAGACATACCCAAAAAAAGAGAACATTTTTTAGAAAATCGCCCGAACACTTTCACTTGATCTAATTTGCTCTACTAATTAATTTATCTTTCTCATTTACATCGATCGTCTACGTTTCTATTGGGTTTGGACATTTGAAGTATCGCTTTCTATTAGGCCCGACGAAAGAAAGATATGAACAGATGTTTCGGCCTGCGGCCTATCCACAAACATTTGTGCTATTTACTCGAAGACTTATTGCATTTACTAATTGGATTGGAAATTCTTCTTCTTTTATCACTGTCGAGACATATTACGATTGATAGATATGCTTTTAGGTTTATGATAATGTACGTGCATAAATATGCATGCAATGATCGGGTGGAACCCAATCTGTCAATTTAGCGAGAGAGAGAGAGAGAGAGAGAGAGAGAGAGAGAGAGAGAGAGAGAGGTAGATTGAGTGGGAAAAGTAGTACTGAGAGCATCTCCGGGCTACGAGCAATGAAGTAGTCACCGAGTGGTCTCATTGCCCTCTTTTTCGTCTCGCAAACGAAAGGTACTCATGGGAGGAGGAACCTAATCCACGGCCTGTTGCTGGTGGTGCAGAAATCGAACTCATCCAAAGAGAGCATCTGCCTTTACGTGAACGCAATGTCACTTCCCCTCCTCATATATATACAGACAACGAGGAATTCAAAGAATCATTTAATGGTTGATCAATGTTAAATTGCAATGAAATGGAATGAATTGCTCACATAAGCCACGGTGTATCACAAGTGGTAATGGATCGAAGGGAAGAGAAGCAGAGAAAGAATTGATGGACAGCTGATTGGCGTCCATTGGTTGAGAGGTGTTCTTAGTAATGGCAGTCCACCACCAAAGCCGACGCGGACGCGGACGCCGACACCGGGGCCGGGAAGATGAGCGGCCGCTTGCTGGCTAACGTGAAGGAGGGCGAAGGCGGTCGGTGGAGCTCCTCGTCGGCCGGTGCGGGGAGGTTGAGATCTAGCGAGAGGAAGCTCTTATCCTTCTTGGCTTCTTGGGCATCCGCGGCGGCCAGCGGCCTGTGCCGCCTCATGTGGCCGCCGAGGGCCTGCCCGGAGCTGAATTCCGACCCACATATGGAGCACTCGTGGATCTTGGGCTTCGTGTTGGACTGGCCGCTGCTCCCGATAGGCTTCGAGAACGAATTCATGCTTATCTGCAGCATATCGTCGTCGACCACGACCTTCTCCTCCGCGGCCGTCGTCGGCGGGGGGGCGAGCTTCGGCTTCTTGTGGCTGGTGCGGTGCCCGCCGAGGGCCTGGAACGACGGGAAGCACTTGTTGCACGTCTTGCACTCGTACACGTAGAACCCAGCCTTGCCGTTGGTGGTGGTGGCCGCCTCAGCGAACCTTCGGCTGGTGAACTTCTCGGCCCCACCGCCGCGGCCAGCGGCATCGTCCTTCCGCGCCTGATCCGGCGGAGGCCTCGCCTCCAGGGCGCGTCCCTGGGCGAGCAGGATGAGGCAGTTGGCCATGTCCTCCTCCTCCTCCGTGACAATCCCGGAGGCAGCCTCTGCCGAGGAGGCCGACGACGCGTCGGCGGCGACGACCACCGGCGGCGGTGGTTGGCTCCTCGGTCGTTTCGTGCGCTTACCCTTGACCAAAGCTTGAACCAATTCACCGTTGGAGATGCTGTCGCTGCTGTTGGAGCCCCGGGCTTCCTCCGGAGTCTCCATCCCCCTTGGGAAGAGAGCAAGAGGTGGAGAAAACAACAAGAGAGGGAGAGAGAGAGTGAGTGGAGGTGGTGTAAGACAAGAACAACGATACTCACACACAGGAGATGCAACACCGCTTGTCCCCACGTATATATTAATGAACCAAGAGAAGGGAGTCCATCAAATGCCGTGCTTTGCTATTATGAGAGGAGAGCTAAACCATGAATTAGCCTCCTCACTTGTATTTGGGGTGGGGTTGTGGGGGAATTAGGTGGAAATAGGAGAGGCGTGGAGTGAAGGGAGGAGTGGGAAGGATGAACAGCACAGGACAGAGGGGACGGACTCCACAACCCCAACCAAAATGCCTAATCCTGGACTCGCTGTCCACTCTTCTCACACTTATTGGCACAGAGACGAGTTGGCCACACAACCCGTCACAGGGTAGAGGGAGAGAGATGACGATGATGGCCAAGGAGATGCTTTCTGTGGCAAGCCTGGACACACGGAGACTGCACTCCTCCTCCTACCTTTTTATTTGCTTTGCTTGCTCACAGCTGCGTTTCAATTGGACTTGTTGGCTTCGCTAATAAATTCGGATTCATCGAGTCCGCAATTCTTCTTCTTCTTCTTCTTCTTCTTTAACTTATCCATCAATCTGGACGAATGCTTCTTCTTTCGCTAAACTAGGAGGAAAAGATCTTACAACATGTGACTCGAATAATATGTTAGCTCTCCTTGATTCTCTGCATGTTGTTATTATAGACTGATCACAATAATGAGATGGACAAGGCCAAGTCAATGGCCGCCATGTCCATGTCGAGAAGTACGTGAGAGCCTGCGTTGGAGATCTGTGACATGACTCTCCAAGCACTTCAGTTAAGCTGTCGCACTCGTCGAGCACATGTACAAGAAATGAATGAGCCATGTCGTCTGGCCACAGGCACAAGATTCCGACAAGGTAAAAGAGGTGAATCCAAGCCTGGATGAGAGTGGAGACTTACCACACCATCATGGCTTTTCTTATGGGCATGGAAAACTAGTCACTACTGATCATCTTAATATTGAATTTTAAGCCACTAGTTAATATTCTATGCACCCATGCATAGAATAAAGCAAAATTATGGTGCACAACATGCCGTCCACATGAAACACAACGCCTCCATGTTTGTCTCTCTTCCATCATCGAATGATTGGGTCGGAGGGTATGTATGATATGGTGGCTTTGAAGAAGGGTTTGGCTTGCTATAATTTGTCGTTGTCGTTGCGTTCGAGACAATTAGACGGTTCGTTGGCAACGATGACACGGGTGTATTTTATGGTTGTACATAGCTAGTCGATGTGCAATGCATGTTCTTGCCATGCAAGCAAGTCAATGGGAGGTGGTGATGAGCAAAGCAGAGGGAGTAGGCCGCATTGAATTCACTCATTGCTTAGTTTTCTGCTAAGCATGATAGTTTTATTACTACGAGCACACACACACAGGGATTAATACATTTCGAATACGCACACACATACACACACACGGATTAATACATTTCGAATACACGCGCATGCACACGCACGCGCGCGCACATATATATATAATTTGAAAATACTTTAAGATATTATCTAAAATTATAAAATTGTCAACATGATTTATGTATTCTATAAGGTGAAATTTCATTTTTTTTTATTTTTGATATTATTTTACATTCATTTATATGATTATATATATATATGTATATATATGTATATATATAAAAATAAATATATTTATTAAATTAAAATTAAAAAAAATATATCTTTATTTTTGAATAAATATTAAAAATTAGAAGAATAATTTTATCACATAATATTCAATGAATTTTTGAAATATAATTTTAATAAACAACACTTACGTTAATGCATATTTAAAATATGAATTTTCATATATTATATTCCAAACAATCAAAAGTATTTCATAACTATATATTCACTCAAACTTCTTTCTTCAAATACACATAAAAAAATATAAATATATTCTTAAAGACAGCTTTACTCTCTTAAACGCCCAAATCAGTAAGTATCGAACGTAAAAAAATAAAAATAAAAACTAGGAAAAGATAATCTTTAAACTGAGTCAAAAGAGAGATGATGTTAGTAAAACATCCTCTAAATCATTGTTGATCCAAAGAACATTTTCCATTACTATTAAGGCTGCTCGAGTAATGACCCACTCATTTTCATCCTTTAGGTTATCCTTGTGGCTTTCGACAGTGGATGGGCACTTTCGCCCTTACTGATGTACATGCAAATATAGCCTCGTCGTTTGAAACCTTTAGTGATCGCTCCTTCTCTCTGTCGTCCTTTGGCCTTCCATGGGATGGATGCCTTTCGTCTTGGTTGGCTTCCAAGAACTCGAAAGGCATGCAGTGGACCCGAACACACAGACTGTTGGGACATCCGATTTGATCCTGTAAATTTTAGAGCACTGGATGATGGCCATTAATTTTGATTCATATAATTCGGATCACCACATGAACACATACATATATGCAAAAGTACATACTTTGATATCAATATAATGTCCATTTCAGTGTTGAGCTTTGTTCTGTGGACGTAGTGATTCGCTGATCGGGCCTTTTTGCGCGGCTTGCGTTTGCTACCACAATGTGCTCCAAGACGAAGCGACCGCCTACCCGACGGAGGCGATGACTCACTACCCGCAGCAACTCGTGTGGCAGACGCAATCTGATCCTAAGTCGCCTTCATCACAAGCACGACAGGCGTTTGGATTAAGGTCGAGTGTGTCGAACTGGTGCCATAGATGAATGAAGAGTTAGTCTATCGACCTGCAAAATTAAGATGGAGAGGATTCGAGGACAATCGAAAACTTATTTTATATTTATTTTTTATTGGTGTCAGAAAATTATCAAAAAATTATTGGGAGTCTTGAATATTCTGACTTTGCGAAACTTTCGTTAGAGGCATGACCGATAAGGCTCCTCTAAAGTGTAAGTTAGTTCACAAAACGAGGTGTCATTATCGAGTCTTTTAGAACTAAATGTATAAGGAGCTTAAGAATGCTTTAGTGTGTTAAGAAACAACACATGATGGACCTTTTATAGTGTGGCTTCTGGACCATTATATTCGAAGATGCATATTGATGCAAAGGATGATTATGCGTTTCTCGTTATCTAAGTGGAATCGTGTCGCGTCGAACCTACTCTTATTCTTGATGATACCATATCAACCATATGATTTTGATAAACATGTGTCGATCATATATCGTGAGGATATCGACTAATGTATTCATAATAAAACATTGAGATGTTAACCATAGTGTCAGAGTATCAATGACAACGATACGGCATCGCGATGATCATATCATTATTTTCCTATCCGATAATTATCTTATCGTCAGTAGTTTTGACAAGACATCAAATATTATTATTGGAATGTTAAAAATGACCCTAACTATTAGAGGTTATCGTCGTCACGTCCTTTCAATACTGACTAACTCGACAATGTTCGGTGTCCACAAGCATTTCAACCTCGGAAGAAACGGCGTACAATTTCGACGTGCGATTTGGCCATTGGATTGTGGTGGGTGCGACAGTCCCCAAAAGTCAACGATGTGGATATATTAAAGAAACCGCAGTCGGCCAATCCATTGTGCTAAAAAAGACGGCACGCAAAGTCAAAGACGTGCATAAATAAAAGGAAAAAAAATGCCATGGAGAATCTTATCAGTAATTCTCTTTGGAATGGTTAAGCAAAAACTCATCATGATTAACTCAATAACACTTTTTATACTTTCTATTATTATTTCATGATGAGAATCTAATATACTTAACTTCTCTCTCTCTCTCTCCAAATCATGGTGCTCACACGGTTTCCACGAGGGAGTCCCGTCTCAACATATCTCTATTCATGGAGTAGACGTGGAAAGAGCTCGAAAAGGATTAATTAGTGCTTGATGCATCCATCGGCACGTTAACTCCAAAGTGACGATCGATCACCACTATGTAGTTTTGTTGTAGATTGCATTCCTGTACACAAATATTATTATCCCAAGTATTATAATCCACTGACTTCATTGCGTAGCCACTCCAACCCACCACCAGTCTGCTTTGGTATTCCTGCGCACACACACACATCATTATGGATCACGACCAGAATCAACATCGTGAGCATCGTAATGCACTGACGTTGTTGTATGGCCGCCACTCTAACGCCCACTACACTACTTTGTGGTGTGGTATTCATATTCCACAGCTATCCTTATCGTTGATGAGGATAATCCATTGGCTTTCCTCCAATTCTTGAGTTGGTTGGTGGCCGCATGTGAAATGGATGCTAATAGGAGAGATGCCGATGACGTTTGAATCAACTCGATTCAGTTCGAATTTATGTATAAGTCTAATAGATTGTCTATCGGATAGACTAAATGTTCACTCGGGAGTTGAAGGATGCTAAACACTTGTTTCATAGTTGATTTGTACAAAAATTGAGATTGAATGAGTTTTTTTGATATGATTCTTTCGACGCTTACCCTAAGTAGCTTTCTATAGTGATTTAATCGAGGAGAATATTGTTAGAATTTTAAGGGTCACACATGTATAATTAAATATGTTAAGTCATTATTTTGATTAGTCAAAATTAAAATAATCTAATTAAAGTAAAGTAATTTGACTAAGAGATATAATTATTATGAAAATTAATTATGTTAATACCATTAGTCGTATTTCTAACTTAATGACGAGATAAGTTAGGAATATGAAACTCTTGAGGTATAATTATAGATTCATCAATCATGAATATAATCATAATTATATATTCATTAGTTATGAATATAAATAGGGTTGTAGTCCTCGGTTATAGTATCTAATGAAGTTTCTCTTTACCCGTCAAAAAGAAATCTAAAGTTCTTAAGGATACTTTGCAATTGAAAGGCTAAATCATCGATTAATTCAGAAAATACTCTAATAAATTCATAAAGTACGTGTTTTTATGTTAATATGTTTCTTAATTATTATAGGATTTCATGTATATTATTGTGGATTTAATAAGTTTTATGAAAGCATTCTAAAATATTATTTTGGATCTATAAAGCATATTTGAACCAAAATTTGATTTTGATTCTATAAAACAATTGTTTGATCAAATATGTTAAAATTCCAACAAATATTCTTTGGTCGAATGAAATGTTTCATATCTTATCGTTCTTAGGGTATTCACCGAACATTTTTCGGATTATTATTATGGATTGATGTCCATGTAGTTTGATTATCGACACTCATCGGATAAGATTAACAGCTACAGTATAAAGAAATACTTTGATGCAGATCGTGGTTTAGTGATCTCTGCTAATTGCCTAACTCAATTCCCCCAAATGTGTGAACAGTGGAGCTTCTTAAGCCTTCGATTCGAATTAGGTTTGCACTCAGCCAATCATAACCCAAACAAGTGTTACAGTGACACGAAGAGCGCAAGCTTAAACTGTGTTCTGACACGCAAAATCTTATCTACCTACTGCGGAGAAAGTGACACCACGCTCGTCTGGAAGAAAGAAAAGGTTGGATGAGGTCGGCCATTAGCAGATGGGAAAGAATCCCACTAAGTGAACGTAAGGCTTCAGGAAGAAGGGAGAAAAAGAAGCGAGCGACATGCCGAAACCTACTCGGTGTCAAAAGAAAGCAGCCACCCGCTCCACTTTTCCTCCGAGTCCTCGTTTCACACGCCGACTTTAATCATCTACGTGCATTATGGCCTCTGATTTGGACTGGTGGCCATGCAAAGAATGCCTATAAAAACCCTTGTGCTGCCACTCTTCGTGACCACACCTCATCCTCTCAGTTCTCTGCTTAGCTAGTAGTGTAGCTACAATGGCTGGCGTGACTCGAGTTAGGCTTTGGGCTCTTGCCTTCGTCGCTCTCCTTGGCCTCCAGGTCGCCTTGGCCACTAGATCCCTTCTTGGAACTAGCGGAGGAGGTGGCGGCGGTGGAGGAGGTGGTGGCGGAGGTGGTGGATCTGGTGCCGGTGGGTCTGGATATGGCTCTGGCTACGGATCTGGATACGGAGAGGGTGTCGGCGGGGGGAGTGCTGGAGGGTACGGTAGAGGCGGTGGCGGAGGGGGTGGCGGTGGAGAGGGAGGCGGTGCAGGTGCTGGCTCTGGTTCCGGGCATGGCTACGGCTCCGGCTCCGGATACGGTGAGGGTGCTGGTGGCGGGAGTGCTGGAGGGTACGGTAAGGGAGGAGGCGGTGGCGGCGGCGGGGGAGAAGGAGGAGGGGCAGGAACTGGCTCTGGTGCCGGGCATGGCTATGGCTCCGGATACGGTGAGGGTGCTGGTGGTGGGAGTGCCGGAGGATACGGCCGTGGCGGCGGCGGCGGTGGCGGTGGCGGAGAAGGGGGTGGTGAAGGCGCCGGGGCTGGGCACGGGTATGGGTCTGGGTCTGGCTACGGCAGCGGAGGAGGAAATGGCCACTACTAGGTCAAGCAATGTTCGGTGGCTTCAAGTAGTACGTGTAATAAGAGCTCTCATGCTGAACCTTTAAAGCCGCTGTAGGTTTAATTGGAGGTGGTGAAATCAGTGATGTTTGTGCGTGTGTGTAATGAATGCCAAATAAGTGAAAATGAAAGCTTGATGTTCTCATGTTATAACGTAAGCGTACTCGTTGACACGAGGAATGCTTTTAAGTGAATGTGTGGTGTTTCTGCTGTTGCTCTTCTTATCTTTGTATACAAATCCTCATGCGGTGTTGTTGCTAATCCAAAGATGGTGAGACCGAATAATTTCGTATGGAACTGCGAAATAATTAGAAAAATAAAAAAAAGAGACAATGAGTTCTTGTTAGGGGATTTCATCGTCAAGTTTCAATTAACTAACGTAGTCTAAACCCGAGGGCGCAGGAGTATCCTAGATTGTTTCAAAGTAACTTTGAGGTGACTCTGAGATGTCTTCGAGGTAGAGGTATCGATCTCCCGGGTCATTACCCGTACTAAGACTGATGTTAGAAGAATTTCTTTAACTCGATCCCTCCAATACTCAAATTAATGAACGAGGTTTGTAGTGGGCAAGGATTTTTCTTGGGAATAGAACCTCCTAGTATAGTATAAGGGGTCAGTTTTTATACCTAGTCTCGGAGGTATCGATCTCCCAAAAGTAATATTTTGATATTTTATCTATGTGAACGACCAGAGGGAGACAAACCCCCCCCCCCCCCCTTGGACTGTTATCCATGGGGGCAGACAGGTAGAGGGTGACTTGGACCTTTTTTTCTAAGATAACTTCCACGTGGCAATCAAATGTCGGATGATGATTAGCCATTGATATATTTCCTATCATTTGTCTTCTACCCCTCTCCTACCCCTTCCCTCCCTTTCTCTCCCAAGGCATGCTTCGGGAATCCTATTAAAGGGGTCCAAAGTGTGGCATTTAATTCATCTGATAGACCCATTGCTAACCTATTCTTTTATAACATGAAGGAGACATACATTAGCATAGGCAGGTTTCCCTAACTCACGCGCCTCAAACACATTTCTCATTGCGACTCCCTATAGCAGATTTCTTTTTGCGCGGGTCAAGTTTTCCTGCCTTGTGCCTTGATCATAATGGATTCATCTTGGTGCAGGTTAGGTTTTCTTGGCTCACATGCCTTGGACACATTTCGCCCTATGTCTCCATTGTAACGGATTCCTTTTAACGTGAGTTAAAAATTCCCAACTCAGACACCTCGAGCATATTTCGCCTTACGCCTCTACCATAGCAGATTCCTCTTGGCGTAGGTCGGGTTTTCCCGACTCACATGTCTTTAGCACATTTTACCTGGTGTCTTCGTCGTAGAGGATTTTTCTTGGCATGGGTCGGGTTTTCTAAACTCATGCCTTGAGCACATTCCACCCTACGCCTTTGCTATAAAAGACTCATCTTGGCATAAGTTGGGTTTTTTCGACTCACATTTTTCGGACACATTTTACCCTATACTTTTACTGTAATGGATTTCTCATAAAGCGAGTCGAGTTTTCCCAACTCATACGCCTTAAGCATATTCCGCCTGACACCTCCATCATAGCGGATTTCAAATCTTTTGTTTGTCATGGTGGGCTCCAAGTCCTCCCTCGGCCATGGCGGATTTTAGAGCATCTTCCTGTCGTGGCGGGCTTCAAAGTCCTTCCTCCACTATGATGAATTTCAAATTCTCTTACTATTGGTGTCTCATAAGAATTGCTCTTGAAGGGACACTTGTCTTGGTCGTGGGAAAAGAGAGATCAATATCCTTTTTATAAATCCTACCCCCCATGTGGAGCATGATTCATTCTTTCATTTGAGCCTCCAGAGTCTAGAGTCCCTAGAGCCTCGAGAGCTTTCAGCCTTACCCCCAGGGGCCTCCTTAGGAGCACCTCCCACCTTGCCCTAGTTCCCAACAAGGCAAGTCGATATTCGAGTCTCTCACCCTAGCATTAGTTCTGTTCTTTTGTCTTAGATCGGGATGTCTCTCCTTTCTTATACAAGTTCTTCCTGATCCTCTAGCTACTAGTCTGTTGAGGTTTTTGCTCCATCCTCAAATAGTTCAAGGGCGGAGGAGGATGAGTCGTCCTCTTCATTAGAGGAGGCATCTACCATGAACCAGAGGGTTCTTTAGGACTTGGAGTCCATGAGAAATTTGCATGACTATGATTCAGTGATAAGCATACCTCTCTTAGATTGCCTGGGAACTAGATATTGTATAATAACTGAGTTCCATCTGTAAGTTCCCCAACCTGATCAACACCCTTTTGACCTTGCTCTCAAGTCTTTCTACTTATCATGTGATGCCTTTGAGACAAGATTTCATCTTCCCCTCTACTTAGTGATAGTGTCATACCTCCAATGATGGGGGATATCACTTTTTCAAATAGTGCTCAACTCATTATGCTATCTAATAGTGTTCATCGAAGAATGTCAACATGCCAATATTACTCTGACCAGCACCCTCTTTGTCACTTATTTTCGATTCTGCAAGGGAAGAAGTAGCTACTACTTAGCTACTTGAGAGAGGGTATCTAGGTCAGTGATGCCCCTTCCAACAACAAAGTTAGAAGGAACGCTTCTTTCTCATGAGTTTAAGTCAAAAGATTAGGGATTCAACCTTGCATGATCAATACATTGCATTAATAACACCCCTCCCTTCATGTCGGAGGAGATAGATTTAGAGCTTCGACTGAGGGATATACTTCCTTCGAGACAGTCCGAAAGATGGATAAGGACTAGTTGATCAATGCAGGTTTTAGCCCGGCCCCTCAGGGTATGACCCAAACCTCCTATCACTTTACTTAACCTTTCTTTTTAATCTCCAGCTTTATGATTTGCATCATCTATAGGCATAAATTCTGTACTACCTAAAAAGGAAGGTGCTTGGCTCCTCGTTAAATGTGACGAGCCCTATTTGGCCCTAACAACCACCCATAAGCCATTAGTAATGGTGTTGGATCCACCTCGACCTAGTCATCATGGCAACATTAACTAACTAAGAAAGAAACACAAGGTTATAGTGAGAAAGGCTCGATAATCTCAAAGGAACAACATACCCGAAGAGTCAACTTGGGAGATGGAGCCTCCCCAAGAGTGTCCTAGATGGTTCCAAGGCGGCTCTGAGATGGTTCTGAGATGACTTTGAGATGGAGGTGTCGATCTCCTAGGGCACTACCTACACTAAGATCAATGTCAGAAGATTTTTGTCAACTTGATCCCTCCGACACTCAAGTTAGTAATCAAGATTTATAGTAGATAAAGGTTTTTCTTGGAAAGAGAGCCCCATGACATAATATCAAGGGTTAGCTTTTATGCCTGATCTTGGAGAGGACAACTTATAACCGCCCCAATATTCTTTTTTGATATTTTGTTCGTATGGACGTTGGGATGGAGATAACTTAGAATGGCCCCTTGGATTGTTATCCTCAAAACAGATGAAGAATGACTTGGATATTTTCTTACCATGCCAATTTCTATATGACAGTTAGATATTGATCGTTAATATAGGAGAACGTGAGGCCGTGAGAGAGAGAAAGAGAGAGAGAGAGAGAGAGAGAGAGG